CACGTCTATGTTTGACATGTTCTCTAGTGTGCCACTTAACGACACTTGCCAACCGAATCTCACATTATGGGAATCTGTACCGATACCCTCAATGTGAGCAGTTACTCATTACAATTAAATGTGCGTTGCTTTTGGTGATCTTTAACTTTTACTGATTCCTGACTCAGCCTTAGCAAGTCCGATCATGAGAATGATCTTATTTTGGAACGGTCCACATCTTTAGAATGCTCGGATATGCATAAACCTTTCATTTCTCAGATACGTATAAAACTTTCGGGGAGCATCTATCTTCATAACATTGTTTCACTGAACTTCGTATTCAAACTCTGCTGTTTATTACATTTTTAATGGTGTTACGAACTCTAAACATTAATCAAATGAGAAATTGAGAATTTATTGACTGAAATGTTTGATCATACTGACTTCATATCAAGTGGAAATTTTAAAAAATTTAACAATAACAACTTCATCAAAAACAATTTGAAATTAGAAGTGTTTCTTGAAGAACTGAACGTGGATATTTTCAGAGTTCGTACACTTGGCTTCATCTATTTCAAAAGGGCACTGTTAGATTTGATATTTCTGACAATTTCATGAAACGTGAGTCACAGTTTGCTGAAACAGTTTATGTGCCAGCTTTATGTGCCAGATTATTCACAATCAGCAACGCATTTTCTTTCGAATTCATTTACTTTCGTCTTCGCTATTCCCATATTCTCAATCTAACCAGCAACTGAATCATGCGCATTTAAAAGGTCGTTCGCTAAAGCAGTGATCTTGTCCCAATAGTGTATTCAGTGTCCTGTTTCGGCACTCTTTCTACTGCAATCACTTGCAACATCAATATTTTGCATAGTAATTGTTCATTTCAAGTTGCATTTTCGAAAACTATGCAAGCATTTTCCTTGTAAATTTCTGAATTGTAGCGGATTCAATTCTCTTTGCAATGGATTGCTTGACATCGGTCGTACTCAGTTGTGTTCCAACACTACATCGAGTTCAAGTGCTCTCATTGATACTGTCTGATTGCAAATTTTGTGCTTAGATTTGCTTTAGTCGAGAACTAACTGTGAGCAAATTCTTATTGTGGAATTCAATCTTTATATGCAGAGAATCTATTTCTCTTCCCAATCAAACCTCATGCATAAGTGTTTGTATATTGTGAATTTATGTGCCAAACACCACTTATGTATTCTCTGTAACTGCTTGAAGATTGTCTAGGCCAGGGGTTCCCATAGGACGAACTTTCCCATTTTTGGGTAATTTGAGGGTCTCTTGGGGGTGATTAAGGGGATCGGGAAATTAGTTCTGACATGATGCGTGGAAATAGCAAATTATTGTAACGGTGAATGGGGAATTGGGTACCTTAGCATAGGAATCACTGATCTAGGCAAGCTCAAACGAATCATACCGATTTATCCTTCAGAATTCTTGTTCGATAAGCCGTTAGCATACCACCTTCAACAAACGGACAGGTCCTTGAACCATAAGGAATATTACGTTATCGGCTGCTTGCATTTGCTTTCCATATGCTAACTGCGAACCTTACGAATTCTCTCATTGGTTCTATTGTCGTATGTTCTTTTCTATGATTCCAATTGAAATGTTCTATCTTATTGCTAACTATTCCATCTGTTTTCACTGATTTGTGTGTAGAATTCAAGAACAACACTTACCGATGGTAAATCCCGTAATGAGCACATAACGGATTACCACGCTTCAATCATATGGCCTTCTCAACTCATGATTTCTCAACTTTCCTTATTGTTAGCGTTTCGTAAGCCATTCACTGTACAATCAAATTTTCCAGAAGAAAGCATCGATTCTGATCGGTCGGAACGAAGCAGTACTCCTCTGTTCATATTCCTGAAACCAATAAGTCCGCGAACTCGGAATGCCGGTGAGTATTTCAACAATTTGTTTGCATGAGAGCCAATTTTGAAAGTCCGCTTGCTTTGTTTAACTGATCAGAATAGGAATCCTTAATCGTGTTTTCAGGAAAAAGATGACTCGAACCGAAAGAAGAAGGAATCCATAGTGGATTTATCGCGTTTTATTGATAAGAAGATCCGGGTTAAATTCCAAGGTGGCCGAGAAGGTAATTAATTACTCATTATTTTGACTGTTTCTCATTTGCGTTATATTTGATGTTGGATCTGAGGAAATGCAGTCATTGAGTGAAAACATCTCACAAATGAAAACATCATTTGTCAGTGAAATAATTTTCAATTTAAGCGTCAGGAATACTGAAAGGATATGATGCTCTGATTAATCTTGTACTGGATAATGCAGTTGAATACGTTCGGGATTCGGAAGATCCTCAAAAAGTTACCGAAGTATGTTTCTTACCAAATTCGTTTTCTTTGTATATGATCAGTAAGAAAAACTGAATCATTTCAAGTTGGTCACACACGAATATTGAGTACCGAGAAGCGTAAGTATAAGATTTCTGTGCTTTTGGGCTGGATGAAGAGATATCTATCTCGCCAAACTAATACTGAAGGGGGAACATATGCGCAAAACCTAGAAAACAGCTTGAGGAAATGACTTTACAGTGGCTATTTTTCAGTTAATGCCTCTACTTGTATCACTAAGATCATCCGTGCATATTAATGATCTTTTAGCATTTCCTCTCTTGCGCTATGATTATGATACATACCGATTTTTGTATTGAGTCTTCAGAAAAGTCACAATTTTTGATAATGTATATCGTTGTCATCAGTACCGTTTTAATTTTAACAATGTAGCGTCAGTGCAATTTCTTGTTGCATGCCTTAAACGACTTGATTATATCATCGTGATTCTTAACTTATTGTCCACAGCAGTAGTGATATAAATAGCAACAATCTGAAAACGCCGAAGAGATTAGGTAGTACTGCGTTAATTGGTTAGCTAATAATTTCGCTCATGTTGACAGGAAACACGGTCGTTGGGCTTAATAGTGGCACGCGGTACTGCAATTACGGTGATTGCTCCGAACGATGGCATCGAACAAATCGCTAATCCATTCATATGATGTACCGTTTCATTGTTCTTTTTTTGTGGTTAATTTTGATGATTGTAGAAACAAATTTGTTTGTTTGTACATTTTTTGTGCTGTTATTTTGTCAAATTGTTCCATTTAAACGTCATTACATACTGAAGAACGTGTGTGCGCCTCATAAAATTCAGCTGTACTGTTACTCAGTACGGCTTTGCAAATCTGTATCGTCATTTTCATGCCAGTTTCGGATTTATTACAACTTTTGTTGGTAAAACATTGAGGCTCATGCAGATAAGAGAAGAACTTTGCTCTCCGTACTACACCTTGAAAATTGCATTCGATCAAAACTATACCTTTTGAAATTTTAAAGTTGAGATTCATTTTGACGATTCATCTGTGAAATATGGCGTCGTAAAAATGGGGTATTTGAAAGAAAAGTGTGAGCATGTGTGCAAAACCGTGGAGAAATAAGAGTAGAATGGAAAGCATTCTACGAGCCAATTTAATGAGTTCAGTGAATGGTTTCGTTATTGAATGTTCGAAGTATTGAAAAATGAGATATGAAAATTTTTTTATGTATAATAATGATGATGTTGATAAAGGTTTCGTGCAAAAGCATCAAGCATTCGTATGAAACACCATCATATTCCATTTTCGATAGCAACGTTTTACTTGACATTTCGCGTTTAGGGAGTAAACTTTTTTGCATGAGCTGATAGGCTATTGTTTGATGGAAGTGAATCATTATGTGATGTTTCTCGTTCTTGTATGATGTAGGTGCACTCAATAAAGCAAAAGATTATTTATGAGTTTACGTAATATCGTGATCTTGCACACTTATGCTTGTGGATGACCAAATAAGAATTTCATTACATCGGAAATCTCTCTAAGACTAGTCATGTTAAGAGCGTGTAATTGGATTGATTTGCTCTTAAAATGCAATAATAGCAAATGTTAATCTGCTTTAAATCCTATTATTAGACATTAATTTGNTGTTGAAAAATGGCTCCCAGTAATTGTTCTAGTGAACAGTCGACTTGCAAAACCATGAATCTTGTCTCAAAAAAATGACATCATCCTCCAATCTCATATTTTTCATTTCGATGATGTATAAAATCGCTAATGGATTACTTAAATGGGAGTCATCCGAATAATCGTTCTATAAACTGAAACACAATTAAGCTTTTATTGGTGTTTTGTGATCATTTAGAAGATGTTGAACAATTAACGGAATGAGTGGTGATCAAATGAACTGATCGTTGAAACTGTAAAAAATCAGCGAACTCATTTCAGTTATATTTGAGCGAGTTTTTTCGCAGCTAATATGGCAGGCACACTTTGCAATTGTGAATTTCAATCGAAGAAGAATTTCCTTGAACGGATAAAGTTTTGAAGCTGAATGAATTATTCATGAAACGAGCGAGCCCATTAATGTTTTTCCTTGGCAATTAATGTTTTTCGAGATGGAGGAAAACTTTTCTGATTAGAAATATGAACGTGTAATGTGATGATGATGATGTTGTGCAATTTTATCGATCTCACTCGCTGAAGACATCATCTCTTGAGAATAAATTTTCAGTGCAAAAAACTGTGAAGAATTGAATTTCTGCTGCTTACTTTGAAAGATTACGATGAAATTTATTAATTTCAATTCGCCGACTCGACCACTTGTGTAACGAGGCACTTATACACACACACACACACTTCAGCTCCATTCAAGCTTAATTATTACCGTGAATTCAAACCTACACACACACACACACATTCAGTGGCATCTGATGAGGTTGCAATGCGTCCGAATAATTTCTGTGATGCAAGTTACCATCAATTCAACACTCTTTTCACACCAAGTTGCTCAAACAAACCTTTCAGCTAACGAATCACCACGTTTTTTTTTTCTCGCGGCTGTATGCAACATCAAATAAACGTGTTCAAACAATTAAAACAACAACAACAGCGAAAATGTTTGTCACTTCGTGATAGCTTTTCATCGAAATCATTTCGAAAATGTTGAGCAGTCAACGGAATTTCACTTAGAGTGGTAATCAACTGCGTTCATTGCTGAATCAAAATGTATGCGTATGCTGATTTATGGGGATCATAGTGGATTCACTGAGAAGAGAATGATTTTGGTGAATATTCGACGGGGTTTCATCGATTATTCGTTCAACGATGATCGCTTTAAATTGTGGAGAATTCTCTGAATTGGTTATTTATTCACATAATTCAATTCGCTACTCATTCAACCGAGCAATTTGTTCGCTGAGACACCCATTTCCGTTTTATTCTATTGAAATGACCGACCAATTATTTGTTCATTTCCATATTATTCAATTTATATGCACTCCGTTTCCATGCATGCATCATTCTATTCGAAACTGAACTCCTTTCAGTGTTTTGCGATCCGCTTCATTTCAATATCTCGTCGGTTTTTTCCTCGAGATTCAGCTGTTTTTTTGGAATTACTACTGGAGCATTTGATTGAGCAAATAAGTTCCATTTTGAAGATTCAGAAGAAGTAAATTTTATCAAAAAGTGAGCATAAATATATTGCATAATGTATAAATTGAAAAAGAACTAAAACATGAAAATACAATCGGTAAGTTCGAGGAATTTTCACCAATGAATCTATTATATGTTTTTGAAGAGTCATTCTCTTAGCGCAGCGTTTGTCAGCCGGATGTGCTGGCCTCCGGAAGGAGTGCGAGATGACATTCAAGAGGGTACAAGCTAAGAATTTATTTTCTATACATTAAAGTAGACAAGGGCGGATTTTAACGCGTACATTTGTATAAAGTAAGCCGACTCGTCCAAGTTGATATCGATATGGGAATTGCAAATGCAGTATTAACAATATGATAATAATCATGCATGATTCATGTGGTCAAGTCGTAGTATAAATGCTTGAAGAGTTGAACGAATCTGACTGAGATTCTTTCCGATATGGATGTGGTTCGAATGGGTGGTAATCGATAGAAGAACAAATAGATGAGGTATACAAAGCATTCCAACAGAAGTATTAATGTAAGGCATACGGCAACGAAGACACACAGTTTACTCAAATCCACAAAAACCGCCCAGCATCCGTGTTTTGTTGACGTCTGAAAGTTGTCCGTTTGATTAAGAATCTAGAATCGAACCTTTCAAAATCCTGATCGTTATAGTGACACACTACATTAATCAAGTACCGTCTCGNTTGGAATCTACCCGATCATTACGGTGTATTTGGTGGGTGAACAGCTAACTCAGCCTCCAGGATAAGGAATTTTTAAAGCAAATGTCCTGTAAATTGCTAGATGCAGATGTGTCAACGCCAGACAATATGAGATTTTTCAGGTGGATATTATATCCCATTGAGAGGTTGTGAACTATTCCTAAATCTTCATACTGGTCAATCAGTTTTACAAATTTCAGCTTGCTGTTTCCTATACGATGTTATCTCATTTCTCGCATGTTATTACGCACAACACAATGAAGCGTATTTAAATTTGTTTATTGGTAATAAATTAGCTTCAAATCGCTAAAATCTTATATTAAAATTCGAATGTCTCTGTCTATAAAGTTTCATGATTGCGGTGATATTCAAACGGTCACCTATCTGGTGTTGTTTCAGGAATCAGCAAGAAGTGATTATTTGTAGAGTTTTTTTTCCTCAATCTGATATCATCAATTGATTACTTTCATACAAAAACGTGCATTTTATCTGAGCTGATGCACAGATCATTTGTGCAGTTGTTTTTGAGAATATCTGAGCGTACGATAAATTGTATCTGATGTAAAGTATAAAGCACTTTGCTAATGCTAAATCACATTTGTTGGCGGCATCAAAGGCACTATTCAATTAGCCATGAGACACCAATGTAATGAGAATTGGAACGAGAAGCAAATGAAGTGATTTGAAATGAGATGTAGACATACCCTATTCCGAGTGGCGATCGACTGAGTTGGATTTCTCAGAAGACGTTTGCGTGGTGCCTCTTGAGTCGGTGACTCGACGAGAACCATTGAGCCCAAATGCTTTCGAAATGAGGAACGCTTGAATGAGCTGTTCGCGTAAACGGTTTGTCTCGTTTGTGAATTGCTTCCATACGAACGAATTGGCGTACTCTTTGCAGTACCACTGGCTGATGGCATCTGAGTATCGATATGGTCACATATCCGATGTTCTTGTCGTTCTTCACTGGTTGATGCTTTCAGACTTCTCACATCCATCAATGTAATAGTTCACTTCAAATCATCCTATTCTTATTCATTCGTTCATTTATAAGTTTCAATGAAACGACGACCATTCAAATGGTCATCAATTGTGTTCGCATATTTATGACCATTTTCCAGTCACGGTTTTTTACACATCCAGTTTTGCTGAATACGAGTAAAGCGGGAATGACGGTGTGTAGTTCAAGATGTATACACCACCGAAATCGTACATTCCGAAATGACAGAATTTTTCAGAGCGCGATTCATGGGGCTGGGACTCAAAATCGGGATCGTTGGATCCTATGCAAACGCTAGTCATCATATTAATCAAACAGCTACCGTTCAAAACTATTCAAACGACTAAAAACAGAACACAACTGTATACCAGAGACTGTAACAAATTTTGTAAAAATCATCTGATTTCAACAAAACGATAAGAAGTAATTTATGAGCTGATACATATCGAAGGTTACATATCAACGGCGGATAAATTCTGCGAGAGGTAGATGTTAGCGCATTGAACGCATTCTGGGTGAATGAATAGAAATTTCAGATATTCAGTGAGTGTCAGATGCAGAGCCATACACATATGCGTTAGTCGAAAAATCGCCTAGATCATGGATTGAAATATAAGACAGAGGCTGTCAATAGTTGATGGACAGCAATTGATACTGAACAGGGACAGAGGTGAAGGATCAATGACAAAAGAATTCTTGGTCAGAAATTCGATCATTGTTATATGGGAATGATATATGGTCATAAATTCATGTGGAATGTTGATATGGGAATGCTTGATTCGATTCTTGATTTAGTTTGCTAGTTGCATTGAAACTCATTAGCTACTTTACTTTTAAAGAACCATGAGATCAAGAGTACAAGGTGCTACGGAACCTAGCAATGAGAAAGTGACTTTACCGATGGTGGAAGGACATTCGAATCCAACTCTAGGCACTCGACAGAACAGTTTAGAGGATGATATAGGAGGGTGGAGCTGATTTGTTGCGATGACGCGATCTTATGATGTTGTATCACTGAAAAGGGAAAATGCTATGTAAGAGTATGAGAAATGAATTATTGGCCTAGTAGGTCGTCCAGATCGACAACTCGCAACCTTCTTCAGTCAACTGCCTCGTTAACTGAACGCAAAATCGAGTTATTGGATAAAACTAACTGAGGATTACAGAAGGCAATAAACTGAACAGAAAAAAGAGAAGATGAGAACGACCAAACGACGTTTCATCTGTTAAGTTTTGAGCACATTTAGAAGAAGGCCGAGAAATTTCGGAAATTTAGCAACAAAAATCTCAGAAACGGAAAATCAAACAGAAAGTACATTTTCACTGGCGATTAGAAATATGTTGAATATTGAGTGGCTGAAGGGAATTACGTCGTTCTGCGAACGACCTTATGGTGACGATCAAGAAGAATACTGAATGAAATTGACATTAATCCACTGATTGCTGATACTCGGAATGCCCGATTTGATTTTCGAATGAATTTGCTATTTGCATCGAAGAGTTTATTGGCTGCTTCATCTTTTAAAACGAACTGACAGAGACGTGTTCATTAGTCGGTTTATATCGCATCAATATCGTCATCATCATCTCACCATCACAACTACTCATTATTCTTGCACTCAAATAATTTAAAAATGTATTTTTTGAAAAATCTTTAAATTGCAAATGATTATAAGTGCAGCATGAAAATTGGAAACAAAACAGTGCTTCAAAATCGGTGATAGAAACAACGGATAATAGTGAAATATGTCTGCTTTCAAGTGTACAATGAACCATGTTGAAGAATAATCGTATTTTCGAAGGATTGATATGAATGCATGAATCGACCCAACAGGGATTAACGGTACATTGTGTTAGTGCCCATGAAATGCAAACAGCTTGTGGCTATAGTCTGTAAACGAACAGCTAAGCGAAAGTCAGCTTAAATGCCTGGTGTCTTGTCGTTGCTGTAGCGCATGTGAATGAATGCTGCATAACCTATCATCACTCACTCAATTACGCCGCTAAGTGCCTACGAATCCACTAATAATACTCACTGTGATTACGACAAATCAGCTGTCAACTCTCCAAAACAGCACATAATAAGATTACGGCTAAATCTTATTCTCAGCTCTTCTTCCCATTCACAGTCTCGTTTTCATTTTTTAGGCCCATTCATGTGCTCAATTTTTAATCCGATTCTTCTCAGCCTTGTCAGTAGTCCTTATCNATCCCATCGATCCCCCTTACTCAATCAATCGTTCATCATCACCGACGTCGCACCCTTCTTATTTCGTTCAATTTCCATCATTTTCATCATTTTTTCTCCACTCACCAACCATTACTCCTTTAAATGCAACAACAAGAATGCGTTCATCCACTGATCTTATTCTCATTAGGCTGCTGAAATCAACTGCTGAAATTTTATCTGTTTATATTTCCCAACTAGTCTAATCATTGATCCCTGTTTAGCGTACGATTACCCAGCAAAGATAGATTTGTTCTATCTTTATCATTCAATGACATCATCTTTTTACTCGTTAGTTAGTATCAGATCGAATCCATAAAATTATAAACTCAAATTATCCGAAGATCTTCAGTCTATTATATTCCACAAATCAATCGCTTAAATTGGCCACAAAAGTGAATAACGGCGAATGTAGAGAAGTTTTTTAAAAGAAAAGCTGAAAAAAAATTTGGAAGGAAATAATTTGGTAAAATGGTATCAGTTGCCGAAATGAGACAAAAGAAACCATCACAAGCTGAATGACAACGTTGAACACTGTTGTATTCAAGGTTTCGGAAGGGAAATATCCCTAAATGCCACCCTGCATATGTCATCGGGAATAAATGAGGGTGGTTTCACTGACGATGAGTTGCTCGTTGGAGTCAAACTGACATCTAAAGTGATTGGAGTTCAACGCGTGCAATTAACGTTCCAAGTATTTTCATTCCCCCATTCGCCTTGCCTCTGTGAACCTACATTCAGAATTTATTATTTTTTCTGATCAGCTGTATGAGAATTTTCCAAACGATCGCTTGAAGTGATCACCGGATTTGTTTGCTCGTGGCAAGAAGAACAACCATACGATAAAATAAAGCTTAGAGCGATTGCAGGTTGACCTTCTGCATACGAAGCCATCTAATAAAAATAAACTTACCCAATTAATTCATTCACTTAATTAGTCATTAATCTATTTGTTCATTTATCTATTCGTTTGTCTATCAAAACAATGCAATTTACCAATGTGAGCGCAATAGAACGATGGGAAAGTGAAATATTTCCAACAAACAAATAAAATTTAAGAAGATTATGGGAGAAAGTAATGAATTATTCTGATGTGAGGAAATCGGACAGTTCGCAAACAAAAAAAAAAAAAACAGTGAACTGAGTGCACTTTCAATAAGTGCATTTCAAGTATGCATTTTACTTTCACAAGTTTCTCGCTTGGTGGATTTCAAGCATCCATCTTGACAATTTCAGTTTAAGAAACGAAATTCGTCAAGACGACTAACAACAATCCGCATCGTTGAATCAATTGTTCGCATAATTGCTGAACAAAAGACGAGAATGAGAAATCGACGACCTTCAGCACCAGTTCGAGACTAGATATGCTCGGCTACACACCATCGAAGACGATAACGTCAGAAAAGCGAAACGGCATATGTGATTTTCAAAAAATCATCACAGGCAGGCATATCCCGTAGTGGGCTGTAGTGCTGATTGAACAGTAAAATAAGGACATCAAGTGATGCAGAACATCAAGTGTTACATGAACACAAACAATTGTTGCATTTACGAATGCTCGCTTGATTGGACCAGTATTGACCTAAAGGAAAAATTTAAGTGATCCATAGTGACGAGGTCTGGCCAGATGAAACCGACCGTGAACGCTAGCTACTTCATTGGTATTTTGCGTTGATTTCAGTTTGCTTATAACTGGACCATTATATTATAAATGAGCTCAGTTCTACTGATTGTGAGTTACTCGATACGGTGCCAGCCCGTTTTTATGATCATTACCCCGCTACAGTTTTCTCAAGTTCGCAACCTCATTTCCGAAATGAGCAAAAAATTCCATCTGATATTTTCGGAAACAATATGTCAGCTTTAATCAGCAGCTAACTCTTCTTCCGACCTGTTCTAGCCGATTACGCTGAAATGCTGATGGAAGTGTTAGAAATTAGTTCGACGCAAACAATTTATCTCGACTTTTCTCGTTTTCTCCATAAACAATTGCTCAGCCGCGTTCGTAAGATTACACGGATTACTTCCTGTGTTTTTCGTAATATTTGAAATTAAGCACCTCGTTTAAACAGAATAAGACTACGTCCTGATTCGGTGCATTCCTATCAATGAACATCGATGTTGGGTATGTCTACGTCAAACTAATACTGTTTGTTGCCAATTGAAACCTGAGCTCAATTTAATAGCAGACAGCTAACGTGCGCTCAAATTAATTCATTCACTAGTAATTCCGTTTGATCGATTCGATTCGGATAATGCTGTGAAACGTGGAAGAACAATCGAGACACGATATGCTGCCTTTCTTTTGCTTCTTTATTCTCGTGCGTGTGCTGAACTTATTCAACGATATTCGTTGTCGAAACCAACCGAGCCGGCGACGAATGCACGTTTTGCGACGAATGGATTCAAATGAATGCTTAATTAGAAATTCAATTTTCCAACAACAATGAAACAACACAAAACACCACTAAAATTGAAGAAACAAAACTTTTCTGCGGTTGTCAGCACAACGAATTATTTAATCATTTATTGAGGATTGATTCATTGAATTCAAGTGACAGCAGCATGAATATTTCATTAGTTCATCGCTTTTTTCATTCCATTTTCCACATTCAACACATCTGCGATCACCACCACCTCCGTCACATATTCGCTGTCGTCGTGCACACCAGACAAGAACGAGAAAATTTTTATCGCAATCGCAATATTCTGAATAATCGTAATAGAAACAAAACTAGGCGGTGACAAGCGAACAACACAAATTAAAATTCGATCAGTTTCACATTTTCAATTCGACGAATAGAAGAAAGGTAAATGAAAAAAAAAAGAGAAAATAACAACAAAATGAAATATATAGAATAGAAAATGAGTGTGTATCTAGGGGGAACAGCCACAACGAACCGAACTAAATCACTCAGATCGAGTTCAAATAGAATCAGTCTCGATTTGATCGATCCAATTACAGAAGCTGACTGATACACACAGCAGTCAATCGTTCTTCAACAATAAATGAAACTTTAATTGATTACATTATAATACATGCATCGTCTGCTTGATAAAATCAGTATAGGATGCTATTTACATGAAACAAGCGTTATCAAACGAAACGATGCGAACACAAACAACTCTTGATCAGAATTAAACACACGCACATACACAAAATGATCGAACAAAACTGCAAAATTAACTTCGCAAATGAAACAGCATCATATTTTGAGTATCACTGATACATGAAGTTTATTAAGAAATTCTTTTGTAAAAACAAATCGTTTTTTTTTTCAAAAATCAGTTGAAAAAAGAGGTAATTTTGAAGAAGAACATTTTACACAATTGAATGCTGTTGACCACCGAATGCCGGTTGACTTGTATATACAATGTAGAGAAAACCATCTTGATCAACCTCCTGTTGATACAACTGACTCATGCTCATACTGTTCGATACCATTGATTTCTCGTTCACCAACAGAAAGAACGCTTGATCTGGATGCAGCTGCAGTCGCCTGTAAATTCGTCGTAACTCAACAGAATTCTCTTTCGAGTTATTGCTTGAAAGTGATTTAGCAGAATCTGTCGATGGTACACGAATGAATGAATGAATGAATGTGTTGGAGGATATCCCATGATCAAAATTTGCACGAATAGCAATCACACTTAACAAATTTCAATCTGCTCTTAAATTGTTCCAAACGACAAGGTCGTTGAACATCGAGTGATCTGCACTCGATCATATACGACAACAAGCGTTTTCGACAACGAAACAGTTGTGCCTGATTGTATCTTGAGTATATTGAAGCGTTCTATAAGAATTTCAACAGAGCACCAATCACTTTCTATAACCTTTCCATACATCATTTACATGAAATTTCCCCATCATCCCATGGAACAACTGTCGACAACGAGCGAACATGTAATGTGCGATAAGAAATGTATCTCTCGTGTTTCAAAAGCAAATATCCACCTAAAACTAATTCTCATTGATAGGAGAGATGTTTCGCAATTGTACATCTTCACAACAGAGACCAAAAAAAGCTTATCAGTCTCTTTACGCATAAATTCTCATGTACCGAATAGCTGACTAATTACTCCCACATACAACAAAACATAAATATGTCAAAATGTTTGAAATTAACGAAATATTTGAAATTAAAAACATTCCAACGTGAACAGATGGAATCCAGCAAATTACTTTTTTTTTTGAAATAAAGAAACAAAAGATGTGCTTTCAGAAAATTCTTCTCATATTTGGACTGTTTTCGTTCAGCCATCAGTGCGAAAAAATTTCAACTCATATGAAATGAAATCGCCAAATTCACACAACAACAACAAATGCTCATCTTATGCGATGGCCTATGAACATAATCATATATTGGCTATAAACTTGTTCATCGATTAAGTCGCTTGCTCATGCATTGCAGTCAATTCGAACAATTAATTACCTTTCACATAAATCTGAACATACACATGCCCCTGTGCTTGCAAATCAATATTCATTCGGTTTTCACCAATAAAACATTGCTCGAAACACAACACCAGGAGGTACACTATCAAAAAGCACTCTTTTTGTTCAAAATTCTGCACACCTCAACAAATCACTAGTTATTTTATTTATGGAATTCGAAGCAAAATGATGCTGATGAGATCGCTCGCATTTTCACTGAAACTCATTCAATGCAAAAGAAAAGGCATCCAGTTGTCCATACCAACAGGAAACAGCCATTCGGTGACAAAAATAACCATAAGAAAACTGCATTTGTGGAAGTAAAACTGAGTTCCGTCTATCTCGGAGTGAAGAGCAACCTGAGGTAATGAGTGAGTGCACGTTACTATCATATGACTAGTGGTAAATGATGTTACACACCAGATATCATCACTATCATCTCTTTGAAGTTCAATTGCGAAACCGTGAATTCCAATCTATTCGATGATCAAAAATCAGTTGCGCATTTAGCGATCTAATCGTGATCAGTGATCATCGAATAACAACACGTAATTTGCGATTTGTCAATTCAATTATTCGTCACGTGTCATCTGCATTAGAACTTTAATGACCACTCAAAAGAGCGTCATCATCAATTCTTTACGTATTTACTTTTCAACATACTACCGAACACATGATCCACTAATTTGTGAACATCATCACATCAGAGATCCACATGACCTCAAAAAATCCAATTGCATTTCTTTTCAGTCCGAAACAAATGAATAATGTAAATATTACTTAAGTTGAAAAATGAAAATCCGAAAAAAAGGAGAAGTAAATGCGAAGAAAATGAACATAAAAAACGTTGAAACGAAACGAAAGCGACGATACCTGCGAACGATTTGCATGAGTTCAGCTACGGTGATATGATCTGGGACGAGGAATTTGCATCTATCCAACAACGGCAAATATTTTTCCCCTTCGAATCGTTCAATAACCACCGGTATCTTATTGGGTTGTTGTTTTCTGATTTCGGTTACATCTCTCTTACGTGCTGCTGCAATACACCAATCAAACTCATTCGCCAGTAATTGCAAACAATGTATTATTTCACATAGTGAATCTTTATCACTATTAAATGCTACTCATGCATCGTTATCTTAAAACTCAATTCAAAATGCAACAGTTCTAACCCGGCCAGTGCCATTCCATTCATTCCAGGTAAACTGTTACCACTCAACACTAAATGCTCCTATCATATTCGTTCGAACTGATCAATGCTTATTCATGCCCACTCAAACATCAGTTCAAGTCTCTGTGAACTGAATGACTCGATTCAATTGTCACATCGAATTCAAACGATATCTTCAGGAATAATCTAATTTAACGATACCAACTAAAGCACTGATGAAACATCCTTTGCATATACATGCTTGCTCAAATGCTTATCTTGCCCCCTAATAAGAGGACATAAATGCGTTGCTGTGCGTGAATCGATATTATTCGGCATACAACTGCTGTATCACTATACAGCACAGAGGAATTAACATGCACAGATCCTTGACGCAGATAGTACTTCAAGTTAAAAATTTTTGTTCTCTAAAGTTTTCGTTAATCAGTGAATTTCGAAATCTTATCATGGAAAGTACTTCAGTTCGGCATATCAACAGAATAATCACCTCAACCTTGGTGATGCTTGCTTGAAGGTCACTTCTCGATAACTCAATGATAATCACGAAAGCAATGTGTCGAAATGAATACGTGGATGATTAAGTGCAATGAAAGTGTTATGAAATGACTGGTGCATTTTTGTGACAACAACACAATGTCCACCACAGTTTCTTCAATCCAGTTTAGAAAATCAAAAATGACTCACAATCAGAAAAAAAAAACTTTGCGAAGTGAACAAAACTGAAAAACGTTCACGGCCGTGATAAAGAATCATCTTGATTTTGATAGTCTGTTTATGGCGTTTTTCATAAAACATTCAAGACACCTGACTATTTGTAAGCGCACACAAAAGTGGAATATTCAGCCCCACAAAAATGCATAAAAAATCTCGTCAGATGCAAATTGTCTGACGATGCAGTTTTTTTTTTTGTTCACAAATAAAGTTATTGCAGCCTTCAGACTGAATGAGAAATGCGGATGGAAACGAAAAAAATCTTCCATGAAATAGTAATAATCTAAAATGAGCACTTCGGCAATAAACAGACTCAGTCTACATAATTGAATTATGGATTGTTAGGGCTGAATGCACGCCAATTTAATGGATAAAAATGGATTTTCCTTCAGATTATAAGAATGCAATTCGCACAGAACATAACTGACGATGTTCGTCTCATACAATGATGTGGCTGATTGCATGCTTCCATATTGGGGAAGGGAATTGACGACGATTCATTAAAACAAATTCAGTACGGATTTCCGTCGAGTGCATTAATAATTTCAGCGATACATCGGAATTCAACACTGATTCCAAGCCAAAATCACTATGGCACCTATCAAGATTTGTCCTTTATTTGTAGCTTTTGAAAAGTGCAACCAGTATCATCCAGCAATCCAGCAACGCAATTCACAAACAACTAATGATCACAAATTAGATCAACTATTGCCAACAGCAAAAACAATTTTTACTGATTCAAAATGTCATCATGTTTAAACAAAATTCACTCATTGCATCATATTTCATCATTCTACTACAGAAATCACAAACGTTAAGTACATTTTTATGTGACAGTTGGATTTTTGATCAGATCAGATCAAATTCACATCACAATGGAAGGTTGACAGCAAAATAAATTTAGACTACAGCGAAGAGAACTAAAATTTTTCCGCTTCCAGCCCGGATACCACCGAGACTTAAACCATCGTAAACTGAAGTAATTGACTTTTTATCTAAAGTCATCATCTAGGGTCGTAAAACGCTCCACTAAACCGAGTCTCTACTCTATTATCTTCAATTTCATCGTTAATGCGTTTTGTTGACCGATTTTTTTCCCCATCATACTTCGTCGCTTCCATCAATATAGTTGGTCTTTTTTGCTGTCTACAGCAGCAATTCTACTCAAAGGTGGGTGATCAAACCATCGATGAGAATCAGAACAAATTTCACTGATTCGCTACTACGTGAGCTTCGAATCTACGATATTCACATTTGGTTGTCTTATAAATTTTCAGAATAATGCAACATTTAATGAAAAATCG